GTTCACCAGTGCGGCAAACGAGCATTCTACCACTGAACCACCGACGCCATTGTTTACTGTGGCATTCATGACATGCAACTATTGCGAAACAGCACGTGTGAGTTTTCTACAAGTAGCCAATGCTTCGGCAAGGAATAAGAACACGGGTCACCCGCGTGGCAGGCGAGTATTCTACCACTGAACCACCGATGCCATTTCTTACTTCTGCATTCATGGCATGCAATATTGCGTAACAGCACGCGTGTGCTTTTCTAAGAATAACCATGCGTCAGGCGGGAATCGAACCCGGGTCACACGTGTGGCAGGCGAGTATTTTACCACTGACACCACCGATGCCATTTGCTTTCTCCTGCTTTCATGGCATGCATATATAGCGTAACAACACGCGTGAGATTTTTTAAAGATGACGATGCGTCGGCCGTGAATTTAACCATGGTCACCCGTGTGGCAGGCGAGTATTCTACCACTGAACCACCAACGCCATTTGCTTGCTTCTGCATTTATGGCATGCATGTATAGCGTAACACCACGCGTCAGTTTTTCTAACTATAACCATGCGTCAGGCGGGAATTGAACCCTGGTCACCCGCTTGGCAGGCGAGTATTCTACCACTTAACCACCGACGCCATTTGCTTGCTCCTGCATTCATGGCATGCATATATAGCGTAACAGCACGCGTGAGCTATTCTAAACTTAAGTATGCGTCGGCCAGGAATCGAACCCGGGTCACTTGCGTGCAGGCGAGTATTCTACCAATGAAGCACCGACGCCATTTGCTTTTTCCTGCATTCATGGCATGTATATATAGCGTAACAGCACGCGTGAGCTTTTTTAAAAATAACGATGCTTCGGCCAGGAATCGAATCCGGGTTACCCGCGTGGCAGGCGAGTATTCTACCACGGAACTACTGACGCCATTTGCTTGTTCCTGCACTCATGACATGCAATATTGCGGAATAGTACGCAGGAACTTTTCTAAAATAAACGATGCGTCGGCCGGGAATCGAACCCGGGTCACCCGCGTGGCAGGCGAGTATTCTACAACTGAACCACCGACGCCATTTGCTTATTCGGGCATTCATGGCATGCAATATTGCGTAACAGCACGCGTGAGCTTTTCTAAAAGTAACAATGCTTCGGCAGCGATTTAAACACAGGTAACCCACGTGGAGGGCGAGTATTTTACCGCTGAACCACCGACGCCATTTGCTTACTCCTGCGTTCATGGCAGGCAATATTGCGTAACAGCACGCGTGAGCTTTTCTAAAAATAACGATGCGTCAGCCGGGAATCGAACCCGGGTCACCTGCGTGGCAGGTGAGTATTCCACCACTGAACCACCGACGCCATTTGCTTGTTCCTGCATTCATGGCATGCATAAATAGCGTAATACCACGCGTGAGCTTTTTTAAAGATAACGATGCGTCGGCCGGAAATCGAACCCGGGTGACCCGCGTGGCAGGCGAGTATTCTACCACTGAAAGACCGGTGCCATTTGCTTGTTCCTGCATTCATGGCATGCGTATATAGCGTAACAGCACGCAAGAGCTTTTCTAAAAATAACGATGCGTCGGCCCGGAATCGAGCCCAGGTCAACGGCGTGGCAGGTGAGTATGCTACCACTGAACCACCAACGCCGTTTGCTGGATCCTGCATTCATGACATGCAATATGGCGGAATTGCAGACAGGAACTTTTCTAAAATAAACGATGCGTCGGCCGGGAATCTAACTTGGGTCACCCGCGTGGCAGGCGAGAATTCTACCACTGAACCACCGACGCCATTTGCTTACTCCTGCATTCATGGCATGCAATATTGCGTAACAGCACGCGTGAGATTTTCTAAAAATAGCGATGCGTCGGCTGGGAATCGAACCCGGCTCACCCGCGTGGCAGGCGAGTATTCTACCACTGAATCACCGACGCTGTTTGCTTTTCCCTCATTCATGTCATGCATATATAGCGTAACAACACGCGTGAGCTATTCTAAAAATAACAATGCGTCGGCCGGGAATCAAACCCGGGTCATCCGCGTGGCAGGCGAGTGTTCTATCACTGAACCACGAACGCCATTAGCTTACTCCTGCATTCATGGCGTGCAATATTGCGGAATAGCAGGCAGGAACTTTTCTAAAATAAACGATGCGTCGGCCGGGAATCGAACCCGGGTCACCCGCGTGGCAGGCGAGTATTCCACCACTGAACCACCGACGCCATTCGCTTACACCTGCATTCATGGCATGCAATACTGCGTAACAGCACGCGTGAGCTTTTCTAAAGATTGCGATGCGTCGGCTCGGAATCGAGCCCGACTCACCCACGTGGCAGGCGAGTATTCTACCACTGAACCACCAACGCCATCTGCTTGCTCCTGCATTCATGGCATGCACATATAGCGTAACAGCACGCGTGAGCTTTCCTGAAAATAACGATGCGTCGGCCGACAATTGAACCCGGGTCACCAGCGTGGCAGGCGAGTATTATACCATGAAACCACCGACGCTATTTGCTTACACATGCAATCATGGCATGCATATATCGCGTAACATCACGCATGAGTTTTCTAAATATAACAATGCGTCGGCCGGGAATCGAACCTGGGTCACCCGCGTGGCAGCCGAGTATTCTACCACTGAACCACCAACGCCAGTTGCGTACTCATGCATTCATGACATGCAATTATTCGTAATAACACGTCTGAGCTTTTTCAAAAATAACAATGCGTCGGCCAGGAATTGAACCCGGGTCACCCGCGTGGCAGGCGAGTATTCTACCACTGAACCACCAACACCATCTGCTTGCTCCTGCATTCATGGCATGCATATATAGCGTAGCAGCATGCATGAGCTTTTCTAAAAATAACAATGCGTCAGCCGGGAATCAAACCCGGGTCACCCACGCAGCTGGTGAGTATTCTATCACTGAACCACCAACGCCGATTGCTTACTCCTGCATTAATAACATGTAATATTGCGGAATAGCACGCAGGTACTTTTCTAAAATAAACGATGCGTCGGCCGGGAATCGAACCCGGGTCACCCGCGTATTCTACCACTGAACCACCGACGCCATTTGCTTACTCCTGCAATCATGGCATGCAATATTGTGTAACAGCACGCGTGAGCTTTTCTAAAGATAACAATGCGTCGACCGGGAATCGAACCCGGGTAGACCGCGTGGCAGACGAGTATTCTACCACTGAATCACCAACGCCATTATCTTACTCCTGCATTCTTGACATGCAATATTGTGGAATAGCACGCAGGAACTTTTTTAAATAAACGATGCGTCGGCCGGGAATCGAACCAGGGTCACCAGTGTGGCAGGCGAGTATTTCTAGACTGAACCACCGACGCAATTTCTTACTTCTGCATTCA